CTTTCTCGGGATCATTTCTGTGAAGCCAGTGAGGCCCTCTGGGGCAAGAATATTGTGTTACTTAGTTCCAGTATTTATATCTCACTCCATTCCTGCCAGACTCTGGGGAGGCAACAATAAGATTAAACATTTAATTAAAAAAGGATATAAATAAGAAAAGAGCACATAAAATAGGGACTTAAGAATAACTAAAATCCAAAAACACATTCAAACAAAGTAGCTTTAATTGGTTTGCTAAAGATAAGGAGGGTTGGGACCAATTGTAAGTATCAATCTATAACTGATGATGACAATCAACTGAAATTGAAATAATCCACTACAGTACTTTTGGACCAGACAATTGGACCAAATGTATTTCTGGGGAGGGAGTATTCTAAAGAGTGGGACCCTGTCTCTGTTGAACACCTGTCTCCTGGTTCATATTTCATGAAGCCTATGAGGAGAAGAGAAACTCAAGGGGCTGATCATCATTCCCCCCAAGATGGTGGCAGGTTTTTCCTTGCAGACAGTTAAGGGGTTGAAAACATGGATTATTTTTTTAATCGATTTTTACATTGCTTTTCAGAGTTCAGCCCTCATAAAGTGATTTTCACTATGTAGTACAAAATAATCAAATATGAAAATGAAAAAGCATAAATAAAAAACAAGACAAGAGTATCAGAAAAACTATTAATCAAAACAACACATTAAACTTCTAAAGGCAAACAGATAGGGGCTGTACAGTAAACTCTCAATCTAGCAAATCTCAAATATTGTGGATTCCAAGTGCAGTGGATAAAATCTATACATGTGTGTTTTTTGTCCATGTGTAAAATCCCATTCACTGTATTATATCTGTCTAAAATTCCATTTGCCAGTACATAACAAGCATCAAATATGCATGCATGAAATCCCATTCCCATTTTGCTCATGCATAAAATCCCATTCAGATGTAATGGACATTCTGTTTTAATGAATACCCATATTTCTCTGTCAAATTGAGAATTTACTATACGTACATGGGAAATAGCATTTCCAAAGCCTATATATGTATGTTAGTGTGTTATACACACACACACGCACGCACACACATTTAGGACACCCCACAAAAAAGATTTTGCATGAGATACTTGCAATAATATGGATGCTTGGGCACATTTGGAAGCTCTTGCAGATTTGTATGGTGCAGATGATCTTTCAGATAATCTGATTCAAAATTATTTAAGGATTTAAGATCTAATAATGGCCTGAAAAGAAATAGGCATCCAGTGTAATTATACAAAATACATGTAAGACCATCCAAAGGACTAGCTTTGCAAGCAATTTAGCCACTGGATTCTAACCACAATTTCAATACCAGTCATACATAAAACAAATTAATCGAATCTGGACATAACAGGAGCATCAGCTTTCAGAATTTTTACCATTTTCAGGAGACTAGAGGTTGGAAGGAAGAGAAATTTGCTTATAATCTGCAACGTGGTGACATTTTAACATAAACCTCCAAATGGCATCCCTCTAGTGGTTTCACATACATTAATGGGGGGCAAAATGGAACCTCCATACCCAGCAACCATGGGGTAAAATTCAGAAGCACCATCTTCTCCCCTCCAGCTAAGCACCTAGGATTGGAAATGCTTTAGCACCTGGAGATCATATAGCTGGTTACCATGGTTGCCATGACACTAAAGCTACTAAGAGATTTATTAAAGCCAGAAAGTAAGTCCTCCATCAAGGCAGGTTTAGGTAGCCAAACTGGAATGGATCTACATGAAGATATCTAAGTTGAGCCACCTTGACCAACTCTATAGAGTCCAAGTTCCACAGAATCTAAATTTGACCTTTTGTCAGATGTGGTTTCACTATTGCTGCTATTAACACAGATGGGATGATCTCATTCTTTACCACAGAATTCATCACTTCTGAAACCCTGTTTTCAGTCAACCTGCTTTACAGGGCACAATGATCAAGGAAGTAAGGAGCCAGGGATCTGAACTGAGCCCTCAGAGATTGCCCAGTTCCTTAACTTATAGAAAGTGAAAATATATTGCCCAACCAATAATTAAGATAAACCCAAGGAGTTTCTCAGCAACAGTCCTTTTCAGGCAAGGTTTTTGAACCCAATATTTTGGTCTATATTGCGCTTTCAGGAAAGAAGGGAACAGACCATGAGCTATTATCCTAGAATGAGAATGGATATTGTTTTGAACTTTGGGGAAGTTGCATGTGCCAATTATTTCCACCTCTAAAATTCTGGAAAGACCTATAAGAATCCCACAGAGGATCAAAAACAGCTATTATTATGGAGTCCTTGGGGTTCTCTGAGCTGAGTTCTCTGAGAATCCCAAGGGCTCCACAGTTCAACCCTGAGCTACACATATTCTCTTCTATTGGTACAGCTATTATTAAGATCATTTGATTCTTAATGTTCAACCAGGCAAAATAATATAAAGGGGGAAAGGCTTGATTAAACTGCCGTTGTATTCACAACACCTAGATCTCCTGTGTGACTCAATATTGTACCTAGAGGCATGCTTTGTAGGGTGGAAACTGGCTGGCTGGAAGGGAGTGGGACACTGAGAGTGATTGTTCCTGGAAAACTCTTTTCTTTGGATGGAGTTCCAGGAAAAACCATAGAATGTGAGGCCTTAAAAATGACTTGCTCACAACCTGAGTGCATGCTAATCTTAACATCAGTTTACTGACCTTGGAGGCTTCTTATCCCTAGTTAGTGCACTACTTCTTTCCTTTTTGGATTGCTTATTATACTGTATGGTCGAGCAGGTAGCACGTGTCTGCTTATGTTGTATATCACATGCACATTCCTTCAATAGTAAAAGCTTACTTGCAATGAATATGAGCTTTTTTATGACAGTGGTTTGGTCATGTTCCAGTAATTGTTGTACATAGTGCTTTTTGATGTGCACTGTCAGGCCTGGTTAATCCATCCTGGTTTATCTGTCTGCCTTTGTCTCTTGGAAAAATTCAATTAATAATCAGTGCCATTTATAACACAAATATCATGATAAGACAAACTTAAATCCTTCTTTTTGGTGCTAATTAAAAACTGAGGTCATTTGATGAAGCATGCTTCTATTTAAGTTAGAGATTAACTATTATTTGAAGAGTTAACCACATTAATAAAAATGCAAACTCTTCTAAAAGGATCATTTCAGTCATTTGCTTGCCTTTGATGGTAAGATCAGGTCTATTATCCAAAGTATTGCAGAAGTACAAGTCCAGTTGCTACTTCTCCTTACTGTTATCCTTATTTTTTTCTGATTAACAATGGAGAACTATTGGGAATTCTTATTTTCTCAGTAAATATGGAGTTTGCTTGCCCATGTAAAGTCTGTTTTCATCCTATAGTGCAAGAGCTTCCTGTTTACTTCATTAATCTCTACTAAATTTACTGTTATTGAAAAAGGCTCTCCTCTCACATGCAACTGCTAGCATTTTATTGACTTTGAAAGAATGTTGTCCCTTGTGGAACACTAACAATTT